TACATTCAACAAAAGAGAACCCACGTTCTTTCACAAAGGACATCCTTGCTTTAATTTATTAAGATCTTCCATTTGAAACTCTGGAAGTTGAAGCAAAAATGGCATTGGAAATATTTCAATGCAAGTACAAAATAGATTTCACAGAAAAGAAGGCATCTCTGAACCTTGAGAAAATAGTCAAACTACACAGAACAGGTGATTTCATTGATGTGAGTGAGGGCCCTCTTATTCCAAAAACAAGTGTTTGTTTCCAGTATGAAGTGTCAGAAGTTCACAATCTTCAACCTAACCAACCAAGTCTTATACAAAGATTCCAGGGTCTGTCTTTATTCATTCACTTAAGAGCACGTTTTATAATATGGGATAAGCTTTTGGAAAGATCTCGTAAAATGGTAACTGAAGATCAATCTAAACCAACAAAGAAAAGTGCATCTCCCTAATAACTTTCTAAAATTTAAATATGTCTAGTAAACGTTTTTAACATTAAAAAAGCGTTTTAAGAACTGGAAGACTGTTTTCTAAAATGGCTGCACTATTTTAAAATTCCAGCAGCAGTGTATGAAGGTTGCAATTTCTTCATATTTTTACCAGCACTTGTTATTATCTGTCATTTTGATTGTAGCTATCCTAATGTGTGTCAAGTAGCATTGCACTGGAATTTGATTATCATTATCCTAAAGAATAATGATGTTGAGTATCTGTTAATGTGTTTGTGGGCCATTTTAATATATTCTTTATAGAAATGTCTATTCAGATTCTTTGCCCATTTTTCACTCTGTGTTCAATGGTCTTGGCATGCTGGTCTAAAATCAATTGTCCACAAATGCAAGGATTTATTTCTGGATTCTCTATTCTATTCCATTGTTCTTTATATGTATTCTTATGCCAGTATGACATTGTCTTGCTTATATTTGTTTTGTAGTAAGAATTGAAATAAAGAAGTGTGAATCCTCCAACTTTGTGCTTTTCCAAGATTGTTTTGGCTACTTTGGGTCTCTTCGATTTTCATATGAATTTTAAAATCAACTAGTCAAATTCTGAAAAGCAGCCAGCTGGGATTTTGGAAGGGGTTGCATTGATCTGTACATCAATATAGAGAGTATTGCCATCTTAATAGCATTCTCTTCCAAATCATGGTCATGGCATATCTTTTCATTTACTTAGGTATTTTTAAATTTATTTCAACAATAGTTTGGCATTTTCAATGCACACATCTTGCATTTCTTTTGTTAAGTATATTTCTAAGTATTTTATTCTCTTTGATACTATTGTAAATAAAATTGTTTTTAATTTTATTTTTGAATTGCAAATATATAGAAATACAATTGATTTTGTATATTGATCTATCCTGCATCCTTCTAAAACTTGTTTTTAACACTAGTAATTTTTGTGTGTGTATTCTTTATGATTTTTTGTATGCAAGGTTGTGTCAATTGCAAATAAGTATAATATTAGCTATATATTTTTTTTCTTGTAACTGACCTTTAGCAGGGTGAGAAAGTTTCCTTCTATTTCTAATTTATTGAATGTTTTTATCATGAAGTGGTATTTAATCCTATCAAATGTTTTTCTGCCTTTATTGAGATGATCAAGTGTTTTTTTCCTTTTATTCTGTTGATATGGTGCATTAAACTAATTGATTATCAGATAGCAAGCCAACCTTGCATTTCTGTGATAAAGCCCACTTGGCCATAGTAGGAGTTTTTATATGTTGCTGAATTTAGTTTGCTAGTATTTCTTTTTGAGAATTTTTGTGCCTATAATTATAAAATACATTGGTCAGTGGATTTCTTTTTTAGTAATATCTTTGTTTCATTTTGGTATCAGTGTAATACTGGCTCATATGATGATTTAGGAAGTATTCTATTTTTTGGCAAAGTTCATGAATAATCATTAATAATTATTCTTTAAATATTTGGTAGAATTCACTAATGAAGCCATCTGGGCCTAGATTTCCTTTGTTGGT